GATGCAGTCAGCCAATTAGGCCAGGTGGACTTGATAACCACTTAGTAGTGTATAACTGCATTGGGAGTCTGCTTGGGGTTTAGAGTGTGTATTACTCTCTATGCTGGTAAGAAGCTTGTTGCTGGGAAGTAAGTTTTTCTCCTTGTTATGAAGTTATAGTACTGCAGGTATGCAGGAAGTTATGCTGTACTGTTTTTGTGCCTAGCCATGATGCTATATTGTTTGTTTTTGCATATATTTTTTTGTCTTACACTCTGCTGAGTAAAGCTCTATTTTTGTTGACTCCACAACTCTGCTGTACTATTTTGTAATACACTCAACAATAGCTGATGTAAGCATAGTAGTAAATTATCAAATCATAGATCATAGAATCATAGAGTTGGAAGAGTCCACAAGGGCCATCCAGTCCAACCCCTGTCATGTAGGAACTCCCAATCAAACCGTCTAGCCATGTGATAGCTCACTGGGTAAATCCCTCATAGACATTGCTCCCAATGACAGTCGAAAAATACAGATTGCTGTCTAGTTCCATTTATATTCATAGGTGCACACACAGGGAGATACCTACAGCCACACAAACAAGAACATTTGCAAGTTGTTGCCTGAGTTGATGTTGATGATATTATTTATTATCTAAATAGGAGGAAAAGTCTGTAGCATTTGCAGTTCTTAAACTTTGCTTCATACCAAAGTGTACACAAAATCAACCAAGTCATTAGTTTTCTGGGCAGATAATAGAATCAGCCCTCTATATCTGTGGATTCTGCATCCATGGATTCAATTATCCATGACTTGAATTTTTTTTTAACATGTCCAAAACCAAAGCTTGATTTTGTCTTTTTATATAAGGGACCCCATTTTACTACTCCTTTGTATATAATAGAACTTGAGCTTTGATGACTGTGGGATCATGCAGGCAGGCAAAACATAACGGATAAAGATGGAATTGTAACAACCCCTAACCTATTCCATTATCCTTCCTAAAGATGCTATCTGTATAAGAACAAGTTTTCTACCAGGTTGAAAACTGAGTATGACGATTATTCTGATTAGCTCTGTTGCTTTGATGGCAACTACTTATGTGGAAGTAGATACCAGTGAATGAAGCACACTATTCCCTTATTTATTAATTCATAAAATATTGCCATTCCCTGGCAGTAAGCTCACATTGGTATATGTACTCTGATAAATACTCCTCTGTATTTTGAAGAATGTTTTTAGGCATTGTCTGAAAAGCATTACTGTACTTTAGAATTCTTGCTGTGGAATTGTGTTAAATTTGCACAGAAATGTTATGTTTTTCATATTTCCATAATTATTATAATAATAAACATTTCACAGATATTAAAAGAAGAATTTTTATGTATGTAAAAACCATTCACTGAACACTTTCTAATGTCACCACAGAATAATTCTGGAATCCATTAAATGCATACAGTAAGTATTTGACACACACTGATTGTGTTACATGCTATAATGTTCTAAACGTGTCATTCAATTTGGGAGGCCTTTATTATTTAATAATTAATTGTATACATCACAGAAAGATGGGCAGTCTTACAGATACATTACTCTTATTGATTAAATGAAGTGTTGTTTTACAGACTAAAGTTTGGTGCTGAATCGTTTAACCTTTTTTTTTAAACAAACCAGAAGCCCACACTGTTAATTATTTTAAATTTAAAAAAGATACTTTTAAACAGCTTTTAGTTTATTTTTCATAAGTATTTTGATTTGATTTTCATAATTTGATTATGATTTAATTGTCATAAATATTTTTATGTTAGAGATTTCTTGGGACTTACCACTTCAGAAACAATTTATTGGTATTGTGTGGAAATTTTATGTTTGAATGGCCACTCACATGAATAATAATAATAATAATAATAATAATAATAATAATAATAATAATAATAATAATAATTTTTAGAGCAACCTATACCTTGGAAGTACTTGCATGAAGGAGATAGCTGATCTACACCTTGACATGGTAATTGACAGAATATTTTTGACAACAAGAAAGCAATCAGTTAAACTGTTACCTACTTATCTGAAATGCATATTCCACCCTTTTTAAAATTTGCCAGATTATGTTATACAGTATGATTAAAACATACGTGTTTTACACTGCTGAAATAACAATAATAGTAATAAAATAGCCATAAAAGACAGCAAAATACCATGGAAAATAAAATTCACTACCACTAAGGTTTTATGTGCTTCCTTTTTAAATTGTGTTTTGAATTTTGACATGTTGTACCTTGCTTTGAGAAGTGGGAAAGAAATAAAATTTATTTATTAATTAATTGTTAATGGCAAATTAAGTGCTAGGCAAGTTTCCCTGGGAAGAGAGCTCCAAAATTAGGGTGCCATCACTTCCCAACGCTGTATTTGCTATTCATTATAATAGCTATGCTGTGGAGCAGAGCCTGGTTACAGAGCAGAGTTACAAAATGAGTTACTTGTAATTATTTTTTTTTAAATGACTAAGGTGTAGGTAAGTTACATTGTGATGCACTTTATTTGTATAGTTACTGAAGGACTGTAGACTTACTACTTGTAAGTAGCAAATAAGCCACCTTGGGTCCCTTCCTGGGAGAAAGGAAGCATAGAAATGAAATAAATATAAATAAATAAATAACGTTGACAGGTACCTTTAAGTCTCCTGTTGACTTGTGTCAACCCCAAGAATTTCACAGGGCTTTCATAGGCAAGTAATACTCTGAGATGGTTTTGCCAGTTCCTTCCTTTGAAATATAACTTTCAGCATCTGGTATTCATTGGCAAGCTCCCATCCAAGTACTCACAAGGGCTGATTCTGCTTAGCTTCCAAAAATCAAATAGAATCTGGTGCCTTTAGAGTATTTAGGCCTTTCCTTACTATTTAGACATAATAAAACATAAACTTCTTACATGTGAATTTGAGACTCTGACATCGTCATTTGTATTATGTAATTTGTTGACTGGGGACTTTGAGAATATACGGAATTAAATATCTAGGCACCACTGCATTCAGATCTAGTCTAGTGGCATCTTGTCTCTCATTTGTCTGCTGCAGGCTAGTGTTGAACACAAAATCTTGTTGCCTGTGTGTCTGTCACTAGATTTATTTGGGGTTTAACTAGAAGCAGAATTCAGATCATTATGTTGCAAAAGAAGTATTAAAATGTGATTTGTTTTTATTTAAAATTCAGAGACTTGTGGAGGCTGGCATCACATCAATGAAATACAGTGTCTCATGTAACTGTGCTTGTTTGTAGGGATTTTTTTAAAAATGAAATTCTGTTTTTTAAATATAGCACATCTGTAGCTAACTGCATTGTAGATATTTTATATACGAGGTTTACAATACAGTATGTTGAAACTGTATCGTTGCCAGAAAGCACTGTTTCATCCCCATTTTGGTGCCCCTTTGAAAATGCCTTGACTCAGAGGGTGTCATGTTGTCTGGATATATCAGCTAGTCTGTACATTAGACCAAAAATGCACTTTAAAAGCTAGTGCCCATTGGGCAAACAGTAAGTAGAATAAAAGGCTTGCAATATGTGGAAGGAAAGAGTACAGCAGAAACGTCTTACAAGGAAAAGTGAAAACAAAGCATGCAAGTTAGATTTACAATCATGAGTGAGGTACAAAGAGTTGGGGTGAATTTTTTCTGTCTTTATTAAAATGACAGGAAAAGATAGCAGCAGAAATCCTTATATATTGGTCATTACAGTAAAACTGCTTAGAAAGGTCCTGAAAGAAGCACCACCCGATGTGCCTCGACAGTGATTTTTGAAAGAGCTGCTAGGCAAGAGTGTGTGTGCGTGTGAAAGAGGTGATTCCCTTCACAATCCAATGTTAAAACCTTCACTCCTCCTCTTCCTCCTCCAGACCTCTCTGCCCACCAAACACCCCATTTAACTCCACTTCCTTCCCTTCTCAATCTGATATTAAAACCTTCTCTCCCCACCAAACACCTAATTTAATTCCACTTTCTTCACTTCACAGTCCAATGTTAAAACCTTCTCCTCCAGCAGCAGGGAAATGTGTTAGGTGGTCAGAAGAGATCCAAAGAAGGAAGGAGGGAAGTGATACTTTTTCTCTTTCCATCTTGCATTATATCCCCCTAAGCTTTTCCCTTGACCTATCCACGGGTCATATCAAAATCCATGATTTTGGCCCAAAAAACTTCCCTCAACTTATACACGAGGTCGATTTGTATACAAGTATATACAGTAGTTACTGTCATACAGAATTATTACTTGTTAGTATTGCACTAACATTACTTTTTAAATATGTATATATAGAAATGCCTCCAAACTCTTCAGATGGCCCCCAAAGAATATCTGAAGTAGTTGAAAAAAATTGCATTAGCACTGCTGACATCAAAACAATTATAATTAACAACATACTTCTTACTTTGAGCATGGATTCTTTCCCCACAAGAGGCAAACTGAGGCAAAATAATGTTTGCAAAGAAAGAAAAGGTGTGGGGAAGTTCTATCCTATAAATTAATAGAAAAGCAGCCCTGAACAAGTCCTTGTATACCAACAAAGTCAGTCTTGCTATGGGGGGAGGAAAAATGAGAAGTAAAAATCCATGCATCATGCTAAGGAGAATATATACGATGAATGAAATGGTGGGCACAAATGAATTTGGGGAATCCCATTATACTTCCAGCAACCATTCCTGGGTCCCCAAGACATCCATTTTTAACAAGCGGGTGAACAAAATTTGTGGCTCTTGAGACACACAGTTATACCCCTTCCAATTATTCCATTGACCCATGTCTTCCTAGGGTTTTTTATGTCATAGTAATCCAAATGCAGATAAACCATTGTGTCATAGCTCATCAACCAGGAATACTGACACAGGTTTGTTGGAAGAAATGCTGAGATAAACTATTAGTAGAATTCTTTAGTTTAAAAAAAAATCTGGAGGGTGCTTGATAATTTGGGTTGCACAATTGTATATTGCTTCATATCCAATATAAATTTATTTCTTCACACAGAGAGCCAATGTGGTATAGTGGTTTTAACATTAGACTAGGACTCTGCAGACCAGGGTTCAAATCCCCACCTATCAGGTGACCCAGGGTAAGTCACTCTCACACTCAGAGGAAGGCAAATGAGAACTGCCTATGAACAAATCTTGCCAAGAAAATCCTGTAATAATTTCGTCTTAGGGTTGCCTATATTGGAAATGACTTAAAGGTACACATTAACAAACACCCAACACAAATAATTCAGCTCTTTGAACATGGAATTAAATTTCTCTAAAAATTGTTTAAATACCCTCTTATTTCTCCAATATTTTGTTCAGTGCATCTGTTAAATAAATTGGCTGTTAAATAAATTGAAAATTCAAGAACTTCAGAACTAAAAATGAAACTTAAACTCTGTGGGTGAAGGTGTTCCCCCCACCTTGTGTTTGTTCAGATATATATGTGTATGTGTATGTGTGTGTATATATATATATATATATATATATATATATATATATATATATATATATATATACACACACACACACACACACACACACATACTGTGGATTTCATTCCATTATCAAGAATAAAAATGAGCATGCCACTTAAGCACAAATGCAACTTTTGAGTTTGGGCCAGAATTCCTTTTACTGTATAAGCTCTAATGTGAAATGAAAGCCAAACAGCTGCTTGTAGCTCAAGACTGATGAAGTACTCTAATGCAGTTGCCCTGGTCTCCAGTTGAAGAAGAGTGACTGCTGTGCCAAAGACTGTGCTCAGTTGCCTGGTCCCAATTTGTGAGGTCAACTGACTTATGTTTTTCTTTTATTTCTATGTGTCATAAGCTTCGATGTGGGAACAAAAAACATTTTACACTCACTCACCTCTTTAGTCTGTGGGAATCTTTAAACTGTACTGGAAGACCAAACCTAAGTCCCCTTCCTTTATGAGCCCATTCCAATAACAATAAAATTGTTGCCAAATATTAGCACATTATCATCTTAACAATGCATTTAAGGATGATAGGATCACCACAAATTGGAAATGACTTGAAGGCTCACAACAACAACAAATGTACCTCAGAAAAGCTGTGCTGACCTTTGAAAGGCATAAAGGAGCATCTAAGATGCATGCATGGAAGCTTTACATAAAGCAGTGAAAACAAAAGTCATATGTATTCATGACACATACACCCCACAAATCATCTTGAAGCAATCTAGCATAGTAGTTAGATTTCTCCCTTCCTTTTGGATCCATGTATGTATCCCACCTGAATAGATCCAAAGCTCTCATTTCTTAGGCCAGGAGGGAGAGAACCAAGACAGCATAATTTGGAGATAGACTCTTGCTCTATGGCACAGCCAACAAGTACAAGCATTGCTATGGGGCAAAGATTTATTGTTGGGGCCTATCAGAAAGTAGGGCTGGAACAAAGGAAATAATGACTTCTCAAGCAATGAGATACTAAGGTCTCAAATATCTTCTGCCTATTGGGGTAGCTGGAATGGATATTACATCCTAAAAATAACAGATTACATATTTACCTATAACTTATGTAGACTCATAGAATCATAGAGTTGTAAGAGACCACAAGAGCCATCCAGTCCTACCACCTGCCACACAAGAATACACAATCAAAGCAATCCCAACAGATGGCCATCCAGCCTCTGTTTAAGAATTTCCCAAAATTGGAGATTCTGCCACACTCAGAGGCATTATCAAAAACCTCTTACGATTAGGAAGTTCTTCCTAATGTTTAGGTGGAATTGTTTGAATTCATTGCTCACTGTCCTAGGCTGCTGCCACATTGCAGGATCAATGCAGTCTGACACCACTTTAATTGTCATGGCTCCATCCTGTGGAATCCTGGGATTTGTAGTTTGTTGTGGCATCACAGAGCTAGAACTGACAGAGAAGGCTAAATATCTCACAAAACTACAGATCACTGAATTCCGTGGCAGTCAAAGTGATGTCAAACTGCATTAAGTGTGCAGTGTAGATTCAGCCCTAGTCTCTGGAGCAGCAGAAAACAAGTCCACTTGTTTGTCTCAACTAGACTATTGAATCAGTGGAATTTACACAAGTGTTGATTTACTAAGGGGGGATGCAGACAGGCGGCCCTAGGCCACCCCGGGAAGCGGAGGATCAGGGCCGAGGCTGACGGACGCCTCGGCCCTGATCCTCCCTTTTGCCAGACCAGAAAAGAGTCTCCACTTGCGCCATGACTGGTCTGAGTTTCTTTGTTTGCTCTGCCCATCTCCCAAAGCAACTCATCAAAGCCTTGTGGCTTGAGTCTTTCTGCTTTCTGGCTTTCCATGGATTCTTCCTGCAGGATAGGTAATTGCACCCCATCTCCTAAGCCTTTAATTCTGTTATCTCATTTCATGTCCCCATTTGGTTAGTTCTGTGCGTGTTGGTTGGTTGGATGAGTTATCTGCTTGTGTGTGCTTTCTATGTTTCTTCTAATAAAAGTTAATACAGTTTCACATGCCTGGGGTCTCAGTCAGTTATTACCATGTAAAGCTGGTGCTGGATCCTACATATTATGTTACACCTTCTCACATAGCTAAGTTGAGTTTTCCCCAAACTAATTAAGCACAGATTGCTGCTATCAGTGGAGGCTTTACAAGACCCATATATTTAGAATAACAAAAGGATCCCGCCAATACAGTTTATATGGTAAGATCCTTTAATATTCATGCATTAGTATTTTTTAAAAAGTAGCTTGTATGTGTTGGATTTTCTTATCCCAAAGAGAATTCCATTGTATTGGATAGTATCTACATGGCAAAATTGCAGATGGGCAAGAGCAGAGCACTGACAGTCCCTCTTAAATGGCAGATCAATAATTCCTACTTCCCAGAGACCCACACAGCTTAGTTTGTTCCTATCTCCATTTTGTTTTTCTTCTCTTCTTTTCTTTATTGCTTGTAGTGTTTTTTCTGTCATCCAAAGCAAAAGCAAAGCAAAGCAGCTTCATTTATATACCGCTTCATATCACGCTATGGGATGTCTAAGCGGTTTACAACTGTGAGCTGATTGCCCCCCAACAGCTGGGTACTCATGCTTTTTTTCTTTTTGTTTATTGAAAGTGAAAGTGTATGATATCACAGTGCATATATATTTTAGTTGTAACTGTTGTAAGCCACCTTGAGTCCCAAACTGGGGCAAAGGCAAATACGAATAAATAAATATGATATGTATTCTTTTTTATTATGGCAGATTTCACTTCATCATATTAATATTTTGCTGTTTATGATTTTGCACAGGATGTTTTACTTATGTATGCCAGTTGTTTAAATTAAGTTATAATGTGCTGTGGATAAACAATAATGAAGCTTGATTAATTCAAACCAGCATCTTACATAAAGATTGGACATTTTCATTTTTTTTTTCATTTCAATAATTTCATTTATTATGGCAAATAGCCAGCATAATTGGACATTTTTGATTTAAATATGGGTCCAATAATCTTATCCTGCCAGCCCTATAAAACAACTGCCTGCTTCTAATGCTGATAAATCCTTATGTTGTGCTAGGGCAGGGGTAGGCAACCTTTCCCCTTTAAGGGCCGAGGGACTTCAGCTCCCAGATGCCTCAGCCATGTTGGCCAATAGTCCCATGTTGGCCAATAGCTCCTGGGATTCTGGGAGCTGAAGTCCCTCAGCCCTTAAAGGGGAAAGATTGCCTACCCCTGTGCTAGGGACTAAATACACATACCAAAATCAGAGATCCATTTTCACAGCCCGTTGTTTGTTATCAGGATCTGTTACCATGTGCAAATATGGCTATACTTTAATTGTGCATCATTTATGGCATGTTTAAGCTCTACTGTGCAGAATGAAGTTTATTTCCTTCAGCATGTGTTGAAGATAACAGCTATGCAGCAAGATCCTATACATGTTTACTCTGAATTAATCCCAGTAAATTCAGTGAGGCTTACTTTCTTCTTACTTAAGCAGAGGCAACTTTTAGATTAGCTGATGAAATGTTTAAAGTGAGATCAGCAGAGGAACTTGGCTCTTTGAATATATAATAGATGTAAACAAAAACTCTTAATAGCCAATAACATTTTTTAAAGCCAGACTTCTGATCTTCTTATCATAATTTTATTTCTTTGTGTCAAGTGCTATTTGCTCATTTGTATTACACTGCATATATCGAAGAAAAGAACAGTTGTAGGATGTGATCCTGCTGATAGAACTGCTTCCTTTGATTAGTGGAATTCCTCTCTCCTCTTCAGACAAAGCAGGGTTTTGGGTTCTGTGGAAGGCAGCAGTGATAAGGAAAAGATAGTTATGTAAAGTCTGTAGACATCCATTGGCATAGCACTGGATTTGAGCCAGGGCCCTCCTCCTGATTCTTCTTGTGGTGGAAAGAAAGTAGGCCTCTAGCCCAATGAATGTTGCCACTTCACAATTTAAGAAATAGAAATACTGTAGATACTTTCTCGTAGATAGTCACTGTCATGATGGATACATCTAATTCAGTCAGCTTACAATGCTAAAAATATTGCATTTCCAAAGCCCTTGGTTTTGACTGTTCCAGGCATGACAGGGAAATGAAATAACAGTATTTTTTAATCATCTTCCTGTTGAACTCCTGGAATTGTTTGAGTAAAAGAACAGTCTTTCAGATTACTTTTAGACATTTTGGTAATGTTCTTGATGTTGAGCTTTTACTTCTAACCAAACTGATAAATGTTTACTGCCTTCATCAAATACAATCACTGTATCCTTAACTTTGTGATATAGTCCAGATGTGGAGTACATATCCCTGGTATTCACGTTACCTATCACTGTTATACAGTTTGAAGGGTTTGTTTACTATTATGATAACATTCAAACATATAACTGTGTTAGTCTGTAGAGAGATCTTGCAGCACCTTTGAGACTAACTGAAAGAAAGAAGTTGGCAGCATGAGCTTTTGTAGACTTCAGTCTACTTCCAAAAGCATCCTACTAAAGTATCTGAGGAAGCAGAATGAAATCTACGAAAGCTCATGCTGTCAACTTCTTTCTTTCTCTTAGTCTCAAAGGGTTCTCTACATAATAACATTCAGTTATTTATAACATGCAGAATTTATAACATTTGTAAA